CTCTGGTCACATCAACCAGCCTAAGGATTTACCAAAGGCTAGGACAGCTCCTAGAGGTGCATTCCTGATGTCATCTGTGGTTGGCCATTCCTCCCCGAAGGTCCTCATTCTGAGGTCGGTCAGAGAGGGGCAATCACACAAGATGTGTTTAACCGTCTCGTCATCCTGTTCACAGGCTCGACAGAGAGGAGAGTCAGCAAGCTTCATGTTTTGAAGGTGCTATTTACCTTACAGTGTCCCGTGAGGAGACCTGTGGCAGTGCGAAGGGCACTTTTACCGAGCCCTACGAAGAACTGGGCTGTTGCGGCTGAAGGATATTTTAACAATTCCTTGGCGAGATGACAGCCCGGGGTACGGTCCCACCCGTTTAAAAATTTTTTGTGGGTAATGTGCTTTATTAACTCGATATGAGTGGCTAAGGAGGGGGTAATTATCGGCTCGGGTGCACAGGGCGCTCTACCGGCAGCACGTTTGGCTAGCCTGTCCGCGTGGTTGTTACCCTTGGAGCCGGAATGCCCTTTAATCCACTGGATTCTGACAGAATTGTATTTCGCGGCCTCCTCCAGTGCTTTGTGACAATCCATAACTACTGCAGACGTTATAATAACTCTGCTTAAAGCTAAAAGAGATTGTTTGCTGTCTGTAAAAATAGTAAAACACTTACCCCGCTTGTTGGAGTCAACAATGCAGTCAGCAGCAAGTTTAATAGCAGTTAGTTCCGCTTGTATGACTAAAGGTTCTGAGAGGCGAATCAGGGGATCGTGAGAGAATACCCCCGCGCCTGCACCATTTCGTCCTTTTGAACCATCAGTGTAGATCTTTAAAGTTCTATGTACATCTACAACTGTGGGACTGACGTGGGTGAGGTACTTCCTTGAGAAAACATACTTTGCTGGTCTGTAATCAGTCTTACACTCGAGTAGGGGTGTGTCTAGCACTGCTTCCCTCCAGAGTGTTGAACTGCTGCCAGTGTCCTCATCCTTCATAGTTCCTACTGATTGTAGTCGTTTCATGGTTACCAACGCCACTTCCTGATATGTAGGTTGAGTGGTGGTAAATTTAACATGATTTCCATGGCCGCTGTGGGGGTTGATCGCAGCGCACCTGTAACATACAGACACGCGAGTCTCTGTATTCTATTAAGCGCAGTGGTGGCGGTAGACTTAGAAGTTCTAGTCCACCATACCACCGCACCGTAAGTTAGCATTGGTCGAACAACGGCGGTGTAGATCCACAGGGCTATCTTGGGAGACAGACCCCAAGTCCTCCCGACAGCCCTCCGGCACTGGCCGAAGGCGACACAAGCTTTATTAACTCTATTGTCTAGGTGGGATTTCCACGTTAGCTTACTGTCTATTATTAAGCCCAAGTACTTGACTTCTGTAGACAGTTTAAGTGGAATTTTAGCGAGCGTTGGCAGTCTAGGATTGCCAATGTTGCGCTTGCGTGTAAAAAGAACCATCTCTGTCTTTTTGGGATTGACGGAAAGGCATTGTTTATTACACCAGTTCTCAATTAGATTGAGTGCTTCCTGCATCCTGTCGAGGAGTACATTAGCGTACTTGCCTCTTATGAGGATTGTCAGGTCATCTGCGTAGCCAACGGTTTTAAAACCGGCTAGTTTTAGGCGTTTCATGAGGCTATCGAGGGTGAGATTCCACAAAAGTGGAGAAAGTACCCCCCCTTGCGGACAGCCTCTAGTAACAGCCCCTTGAAGAATGGCCTGGCCAGCTCTTAGTTTGACGACCCTATGTCTTAGAGTGCTCTCAATCCAGCCGCACAGGGCCAGAGGAACGTTATGCTCTAGCAAGGCGTCGTTAATTCCGGAGAAGGTAGTTTTATCAAAAGCTCCTTCCACGTCAATAAAAACCCCGAGGGCGGACTCCTTGTGGTCCAGCGCACCACCGACGAAACTGATCACTGAGTGAAGAGCCGTCAGCGTGGACTTTCCCTGGGTGTAAGCATGTTGATTAGAGTCTAGTGGCCTGCTGCGCAGACAAGAGTCTCTAATGTAACGGTCGCAAAGCCTCTCCAACGTTTTCAATAGAAAGGAGGAGAGGCTAATTGGTCTATAGGACTTCGGAAGGAAGTAATCTTGCTTACCCGGTTTAGGTATAAAGTTGACCGTGACTTCACGCCAACTACCCGGTACATAGCGAAATGCCAGACATCCCTGGAAAATACTCTTCAGGTGCGGTAGCAGGTCATCCAGTCCCCATTGTAAGAGGGCCGGTGTAATCCCGTCCGGTCCTGGAGTTTTGAACGGCGAGAACGTATTCACAGCCCACCGTATTTTCTCCTCGTCGCAGATGACTTTGGCCAAGAGCCATTCATTTGGTCCAGGAGATATTAAAATGTAAACATTTGAAAACGCATTGACCTCCCCTCCCTTATTATGACAGATATGAGAAATATCGCAAAACAAAAGCGATGCGGTATTATCCAAGCTACTAAATGATGTTGTCAACGTTATAGCTCATCATCTAACTTTCTGAGATAGCGGGAATTTTATGTTTCTCTATGGCAGTTACGCCCCCTAACGGTCGAATTACGAACTTCAAAATAAGTTCCAGCTATTTCTCTTGCCCACTTTGCTTATAAGGATTTTTTCCCAAACATCTAGGCCTTGCCGTTGTTGAGATATAGCCGCTCCGTACTCTTAACGGGACACCTGTATTGTGGATATGATGCTTCAAAACGTATCAAAAAATGCATGATGCAGGTGGAGCTTTTTATCATGATGAGAAAGATCCGCCTCGGAACATGGAATGTAGGAAGGTTTCTGTAACCGAAAAAACTGCACACAAAAAAGTAGAATATTAGTAACAATTTCATGTTTAATATTAGCAACCCAGTAATAACTCAAGTCGCGTTGGTCCTCACGTACAACATAAATATACAAAGTTTCTCTTCGAGGGTCGAGTTAATTCAGTATAAATTAACCGGTAAACGACCTTTGCGCGACGTAAACTCCGAAAAGCATTTCGTCCTCTTTATAGCGCAAAATATTCAACGTGCCCCCAGCTTTATTACGAAAATTGCGTACGTGACAGTGCATCGGCAATGTTATAACGTGTCCTTGTTTAGCCAGGTGCACAGCTATTAGCATTGCGACGCCGACACAACATAGCTCCGAGTTCCTTTTACTAACAAATTTCGAATTGATTTGTTAAACACAGAGCAGAGCTACTAGTAATTACTCACTTTGTAATATGTGCAATGTGTTGAATTTGAAATCGTATTAGAATTTCATTTATTTATTTTTGTTTTAATAGGTGCTCCGTTAATAGCAGTATTTGGGAATCATTTGGCTCATAGATCTATGAATACGAAGTTAACGTCGTGGTGGCTACAAATTGGGAGTTTATCTTTTAACATCTTCATTGCGTGCTTTGTTATCCTCATAGGACTTTTTTGTTTGGTTTATAACGTCACTATGAAAAAAATGGGTGCTATTAAAAAGAAGTATGATAAACAATCGCATATTTTGGATTTAAGGATAAAAGTGGTGCATAGATCTGCTTGCGTGTTTTATTCCACCACGTTTATGATCTTTAGCAGTATCGCTTATGTTAATTTCCCCAACATGATGGTTTGCCATTATTTGTTTGCGCTGTTTTCAATGATTTTGGTAAGAATTGTTTTTCTAATTTGATAGGTAACTATGTTAATTTTAATTTTTTAGGGTGTGTCGTTGTTGTTGTGTTATGTTTTGTATTCAGAAGTTTCATTAAGAGATATGCTCCGCAGTGGTTTCAGGAATATAAAAGGAAGGAAATCGCTAGAGGGAAGCTCGGATCCACTGAAACGTAAGTAATGAACTCCCCTTATTTACCTCTGCGCAGCCAATCCCCATTCAGTCATCGTATATCAGAATCGCTAGTAGATTGTTCGAAAAAGATCAGAAAAACCCGCATTAATGAAATCACAATATCCCCGCTAGTGGAGAACACCCGGCCACCAGAGAGGCGGGCGAAAGCCTCAACAAGGTTTTGGGACGTGAAGAGATCCAGGAGAAAAAAGGACGGAGCTAATAAAAGCATTGCGCGAACAATATGTGAAGTAATTTAAAAACTTTTCAGCACTGTAGCGCAATCTGGCTTCTAGAACTTCCGTTGGCAAATTTAATATTTGCCCTTCGTTTTTCATTTTTTCCCATTTGCTCCAAACCTCATATTTTCTCCAAAAAATTTCAATTGAACCGAAATTCAATTGAGAAATCATAGCTTCACTCATTTGGGGCCCAATCTACGATATTGGGATAACTGCAAAACGAAATTTTATTGAATTTCTTACTTTTTGTTTCAGTCTACACAAAACAAAAACCAGAAACGGAAAACGACTCCCCAAATTATTACTTTGGTAAAAATGGTAAAGCAGAAACGCACTTCACAGAGGCAATGTGCAAACACAGAGTTTCCGAGATTTCCTCACCTACTTTCAAAACTTATTCAAGCGCAACTTTTCCGGAACATTCGGGAATCGACTGTATTGATTACGCCAACAATCCTCAACAATACATGGCAATCTCATCAATGCAAGCCGAGGTTAAATGCTTCCATTCCCCCGATATTCTTGGTAGTGAAAAATTCGTTGAGTTAGACCTCGTGGCTTCCTCATTCCAAAAAAACCCACCCACATCGGAAATTAAAGCAGAAATCATTTGCATCCCCACAAAAGTCAAATTACCTCAAAATCCTCCCATCATCACGATTACAACTGAGGACTCGTCCAAAGAAGAAGACGACCAACGCCTCCAACCCGAAGGGCAAGAAAAAGCACAAAACGCAGTCAATGAAACCGTTTCGGGTGATAATAAAATTAGATTTGGTGATAATCTCGATGAGATGATGGACAAAATATCTCACGACTTAGATTATTTGTTAAACGATAACGAATTAGCCGTGCAGAAAACTTTACCATCAATCCAATCGATGAAGAGAGTGTCGAAATCTCAAGTGTGCATCTTTGAGCAAATCAAAGAAGAACCTGAGGAGGAAGTTAAAGTTCCCGAATCAATAACCAACGTTTCACGAACTGATTGCTGATAATTCATCAATTAATTACTTTTTTATGTATAAAAATAAAATATTTGTGGGTCAATAAACGAATAAAGAAAATTTTTTAATAACTCATTTGCTTACTTGATACGAAATCATATCATAACTGTATTAAAACTTCACTGCGCCCGCTTTGAAACTGTAAATCAAGCCGGAAAATGAGTGCAACATTGAAAAACACTAACGATTATAAATAATGTCCTGTGATATAAACTCGCGTTGTATATTTGTGCAACTGCCGAACTGTATCGAATTTATTTTGATTAACCGAGGCCCCTTATTTCTACCGAAAAACGTTCGCCCAACGCAACGGCCGACATTAATTTGATGTTCTCGGTGTGTGAATGGATTTTCAATAAATCGATTGCGTATACATAGTCACACGAGTATTATTTATCCTTCCATCGAGAGTACAATTTGTCCCGACGCGATTAAAGCCGATATGTTTAATAGAGTGTCGTTTACACTTATCATTAACACACACAGTGAATTTAACACTTTACAAATACTCAAATACTAGGTCTATAATTAATTTTATTTAATCTTTAACTTAACTCATTTAGATAATTCAAAAGAAATTACAAAGTGGCCCATATCACCAAATGACAACAATGATGTATATATATATATAAACTGACCGGCAAAAAAAACCGGCCACTACCAAGGACAGTAGAATCTAAGAGGACTGCTACATCCATTGTATTTTTGTAGTCCACTAGGGATTGGTTGCCCGCACTCTACGTCACACTATTTGCCACGCCTGGTAACTGTCTGCGTTTTTAGAGGTTATATGATAGACATTAATACGTCTAAAAACATAAAACTTCAAAAATAATATGAATACGTCTAGAATATAACCTCTAAGAATACACAGCAAACGCATAGACCATAGCAACAGCTGGGCGTGGAAAATGGTGTGACGTAGTTTGCGGGCAGGTTGTCACAACAATGGATGTAGCAGTCCTGTTAGATTCTACTGTCCTTGGGCCACTACAAATTTTCCACAACTTCAAAGCTGGCTTTCTCGCGAACCGCGCATTCGATTTTGATGATTCTTTTTTTGATGGAAAGGTTGATTCTGCTGTAATAATCCTGCGATAGAAATTTTCGTTCAGATTTTAATTTGAGCATATACGGGGTGAGAAAAATGAGAAAAACTTTTATTCTCGAAATTTGTAACACCCTGTGGGGTGCAGCTGCCACAGCAGAGGGTATTACCTGGAATCAAACAGTAGCCCAATCTTTTCTGAGCATTTTGTTTGTTTATTCACTCTATTATCTCTGTTACTAACGAAGATGCAGTATTTTAAAGCGATCGCCTGTGAAATCAAGATCAGTGACAATAGTAGCTGATGAGAGAACCATTTGCTGAAAACTTGCTAGAACTGGTCTGGCTGCAAGAAGGCTGCCAAAGGGCCGAGGTTGCTTCCTAGATATCGACGTGCGCGTCTTCAATCTGCGCGCTTACATGTGAATTGGGAGATCGAGCAATGGAGGAATGAGTAGTGCAATGGAGATCCTTTTGACGGATGAGTAGTGGTGTCTACTATCACCCGATAGTCAGGAGCGAATATGAGGACGTTGAAATGAAAGATTTGTGGACTATACAATTATGAAACACGAAAGTTTCGATGGTGGTTCTGTGATGGTGTGGCCAGGAATTTCCAAAGAAGGCCTATACAGATTTTTAATCATTGTTAAAAGTGGCGCCTTAAATCACTGACCTTGAAAACTAAAACTGGGCACCCGAAACAGTTTTGCAGAAGCACTTACATTTTCTTAGAATTACAGAATTGCGTACGTCCTTCATTATTGTAAACATCTGTTCTCAGTTCTAATATGCGGTAAAAACAAAGACAAATAAACAAGAAAACAAATTTAATTTAATGTAATAATTAATAATAACACGAAAATTAATAGCGTGTGTGCCCCCCACGAGCCAAAATAACGTCATGTAG